CTTGCAGGCTGATTTGTACATTTCTGATGACTACATGAAACCAGCAGTGCCTACAAATAAAAGTCAGGACACTTCTACACTAGGACTCAATGCCAGCTCAAAACCATGTTCCTAGGGTGTTGGTAATGTCCGTAAGTGGAGCCTGTATATTTTCAGTCCAACTCTAGTGTATCTGAAATTGCAGGAAAAGTAGCTTTTTTTTTTTAACATGATGCAACTCTGTGGAGCTTGCAGGCAATCTTTTTTACCATTTTTAAGAAAGAAACTCTTGTCTCACCCTTCTTCCTGGGCTTCAACTGCCCTAGAAGGTCCTTCAAGGAGAAAGTTAGTTTGACAGCTTTGTAGCTGCCTCTTACAGGAATCACTTGGATTTTATTTTATTTTGTTTTGTTTTTTGCATACAGCTAGACAGAAGTACACAGTTTGAGATAAGGACATTGTTGAATATGAATATACATAACTTTGATTTCCCTTTATCTGGTGTGAGGTGAAGGGAATTTTTTTTTCCTCGAAGACTCTAAGCAGTTCAGCGCATGGCAGTGCTTCTTTGTTCTTATTCTTGGCAATGGAAATTTGGAATAAGATAAGATAATCACAGACTGCTTTTTAAGAAACCAAGGAATGAAAACAGTGGTGTAAAATAATCTACTTACTAATCATTGTTCACCAGAGTAAATTTTTTAGTTGTTTCCTAGCATACATTTAGAACAGATAGAGATTCCAAATCTAGATGGAGATCTCTTAGACGAGACAAGACTTCATAAAGTTCTTCAGTTAAAATTTCCACTGAATTTGGCATAATTCTGGATTTTTGAAATCCCTAGATTATATCCCTGCTTGTATTGTGCCCACTTACCCTTTTAATAAATTGCATATGGTTGTTGCAGCCGTTACCCAGGACAAAGCTGAGTAAGCTATGGAGACTACTGACAACAGGGAATTGCTACTGATCTTAGTGTTAGATAAGTATTTTCAATTATTTGTCTGTCTCCTTCATAATTTACACTTTGTAATATTTGCTTTAGAAAATCATTGGCATATTCCAATAAAATGTTTAGTATAGCTGAAGCTGAACCAAATTGACAAAATAGACACTATCAGGTCATCTCCAGTGTCACTGCATTCAGTACCATATTTAAAGACTTGTTAAAGTCCTTAATAGAATTAGAGGAAGCTGTTCCCATGAACTTCAACATTACTTAGAGGTAATTTCTTACTTATGTGCACCAAATAACTTAATCCCCACACCTTTGGATTTTCATACACAGTTGTACTGCATTTGCCATTCCATATTAATCAAGTTTGCTCTTTAAATCTCTTCTTTCTCCAATCTGCTGTGAGTCCAGCTAAAATTAGAAACTGAAGCCAAAACTAACGGATCCATTCTACTCTAATTACTTATTTGAATGGAGTCAAATAAAGTAATTGAGGAACCAGTGGCTTGGTTCTGCACCAAGAAGAAAGAGAGAGAGAAGTGGGCATGAGCAATTTCTTCAGAGAATGCACTACTTAGATTGAAGAATCAAGGCTAAACAGCATAGTTCTACAGAGATAACCAAGCTTTTATTGATTCATCTGAGCTTTCTGGGGAAATTCCCAGCTAGTACAGGTATAAGACATGCCTACAGACCCAACACTTCTGGAGGAGAGCATGTTGAGGAAATGTGATTTATTATGTTATATATAATACAATAAGGCATATCTATCTATAACTGCAATTCCCAATATTTCCTCAAAATAAGAGCATTATTTTGCCATCCATAGTGTTCAAAGGCCTCCATATAAGACAGAGATTGGCAAGGCAGTACCTTCAGGAACCCAGCACACACAGTTTACCCAATTGGTTTCTGCAGGAACAAATTTGTATCAAACTGAGTTAAGTCAGATTATTGTGTTCCTGTCTAAAATATCCAGATTTGGGGTTCCCACAAAATTTTGGCCATTTTTTTTTTAAGAATCTGTTTTGGTGCTAGGTCCATTTGCAGTACCAATATGGACCACCGGTTGTCCCTAGAGCACAGGGTGGGAATCACAATTTGTAATCATCCATACCAGATTATGTTTTCATGGAGGATGTCATGTAATTTTCCTGAACATCTCATTTACTTTGTAAAGCTTTAGCCATTTAGTTGTAAAATAATGTGTAGGCTATACGGGTATTAGATAACAAGAATTCTTGCATTTTCATGTGTTTGCAGTTCCAAGGTCAAGTCAATCTTCATGTTTTTGAAGATTGGTGTGGTGGATCTATTGAACAATTGAGGAGAAATCTTCACTTTCCTTTGTATCCTCATGTGAGTATCATTTTAGGACCATTGATTGATTATGTGCCATCAAGTTGTTTTCAGCTCCTAGCAACCATATCAATAGATTTTCTCCATGACAATCTGTCCCTAACCTGGTCTTTCAGGTCTTCCAACGGTGCACTCATCACCACTGTAACTGAGTCCAGCCACCCTCACAGGAGGTCATCCTCTCAAAGCATTAGAGTCTTCTTCAGAGAGCTGGGTCTTCATATAATGTGTGAAGTAGGATAACTTGAACCTGTTTAGGCCGATATTCTCCTCTTATACCAAATGATTCTATCTTCCAATAGTAGTTGGGCCCACTTAACTCAGGATTTTCTAAATCATGGTTTGTTGACTAATGACTAGATTCACACAGTTTCACAAATCATTCTAAGCCAGAATGGCTTAGAAATCCCCACAAAACCCACAAAATTAATGGAATTAGTGTAGAGGTGGGCAAGCTTTTCTTATTTGGGAACACATTTAGAAATTTATGTGCATGTCATTTGCATTCCAATTAACTGGCTACCATAAGAGGATTTGTACATTCACAAAGATAGCTCCCACAGTTACCACAAAGAACCACCAGCTTTAAAAAAAAAATGTATAGCAACAGGCCACTCAAAATTGACTTTTGAGTGCAATCAAATAGAGGGAAGTTTTTGCAATACCCATGTTAAAACATCACAAATAAACTAAGTTTTTATTACCTCCCCATGGTCTTGGTTGCTCTTCACTGACTTTCTTACCATCTGCAGTAAGGACATTAAAATCTGCACTTCAGTTCTTGATTAATGATAATTTAGGATGTCTTCTAAATTAATTATGATTATGGTTTTCTGACACAAAATATTTTCATAATTATGATTTGCTCTTGGAATTGTTTCTAGCAAAATATAGGTAAGGCTAATCTTAGTTTATCAGATCTGGACAGCATGAGTTTGAAGAATATGCAAGCAAATATTTCCAAGTATCTTTTGCCTGCATAAGAAACAGAGGCAGGCAAACTGGAATGGGTTCAGGTCTAGGCTTAGGCTAAGCTTGTTCTTAATCTAATTAATTAACCATGGCTTTTGGACATAGTTACTATATTTTTAAACTTAGTTTGTAATAGATTTCTTGTTGGCAAGAATCAGAATTATGGGACTAAAGTCGCTGCTATGGTTGATACTTTGGGATCAGCACTGCCATGTTATATGCAAATTGCACTGAAATTGTGGAGTCCTTGGGGTTCTCTGAGCTTGGTTGTTTTCTTGCAAATGTTTCATAGCCTGGATAGGCAGCATCTTTGTTGCTACAGCGGAGGGGGGTTTGCCCGCTGTTTATAGCCAGTTGCAGGCCCTGCCAGTGTGGGTTTTGTTTTGTTTTATTTT